GTCTAATATAAAAATATTCAAATTAGGTCAAATCACACCAGGAGGTCAGCAAAGATATATGAAGAAATCATGCAAATTTAATAGCTAGATATTTCCCAGTTAGTTACAATGTGTTCCTTTTCTTATTGTAAACTAGCACCTAGATCCTGAAGTCTGATATTTTAGGATCTAATGCTTAGTATTACAAGTCAAATTCATGAAGGATAATCCTATTAGTCCAAAACATTCTTTCAAACAGAGACTATAAAGAATAGTTGACATATTCTACAAAAGGGATCATCAAGCCAAATACTATTATCGGTTACACACTAGTAACTGCACTGCTACCATAACAACAACGAATCAAATCCACATAAACAATACCTCACATCAGTTCATATTTTGAGTTGATCAATCATACAGGAAGGGAGCTCTTAGTCCATTACCTCATAAAATTATGATGTTAGAGGAGAGCTACATGGTTTTGACATGTAATTTGCAACATACAAAAACCTCATGTTACAGTGGGCCTGTCCGTGGTGCTGAATACTGATGGGCTGAACTTTCCCTGGTATTCACTATTATATAAATGTATTCTACATGTGCACATTCAGACCTCCCATTCAGTTCATTTTAAGTTCTATATGCTGAGTTTGGTTAATTATCCTTTGTTATCTCAGGATAAATCTTTGTTATGAATTTATTATTATTATTATTCCGTTATTTATTGTTTATCTTAAATTATGTTTGATTGATTTATTATTGTTTTTACTATTTTTGTTTAGTTAGTTGGACTCCAGGAAGAGTAGTGTAAACTTTATGTATTACACTAAATGGAGATCGAAATAAAACAAACAAACAAACAAATATAGCTGTCCCAGGTCTAGAATAGGCACAAAAAGCCCTGTCCTTGGTGCTGAATACAGAAACGATTTACTTTCCCTATGTTAATTTCTTGTCATTGGCCTCTTCTGAATTCACATAAATAAAAAACACTGGTATATAACAAACACCCCTGATATATAGAATACATGCATACATGTATGGCCCTGTCTATATGGTGCTGACTATAGGTAAAGGGACCTTTCTCTAGTATTCAACACATGTCCTTTACACACACAAGTGCAGCTGTCCATGGTATACATGCCCTTTACAAACACAGGTGGAGCTGTCCTTGGTGCTGAATATAGGAATTGTGTTAGTTTCTTGTCATTGGTATTGAATACAGACAAATGCAGCTGTCCCTAGCATAGAATAAGTACAAAAATGTGTTGTCTTTGATGCTTAGAAAGGTGGAATTGTGCCTTTGTTGGTTACATGTTATTAGTACTAAAACATACAAATGCAGCTGTTCCTTGTGAAAAAAAAATGAAACTGTCATTATTTCTGGACATAGCAAAATGCAGCTTTCCGCATGTGTGTTAGTGACTTGCCACTGGTACTGACTACTCACTAATGATGATGGCTGTTATGTAATACAGAAACAAAATTGACATGTCCTTGGTGCTGAATTAAGAAAAATAAAGCTGTTCCAGTTACATGCATTGGTTACTGAATATATACCTGTTCCTGGTATGGAATTTGTAAAAATGGGCAAGTCCTTTTCAGTGAATATAGGAAACCAGACCTGTCCCTGGTGCTGAACTATATAATTACAATAACCATGTCACACAAAACAGTGTCTCTGGTTGAGAACACACAATACATGTATGTAAATGGGGCTATCCTTGGTTGAATGCACACTGACAGAACATAGGATATGCTCTACTGCATACACAAAATTGGAAAATAAATATGACAAACAGTTGAAATTGAATCTGTTTATTCCAACACAGTACAAGCATTCTATTCTTATGCTTTTCCTCTGAGTTTTAAGATGATACCAAGCAGTCAAGTTCAAAGTCATGCCCTTTCAATCTGAGGCAAGCATGAAGGTTGTTCCAATGCTGAAAACCTCTCAGTCATAAAACGATAGCACCTAACATTACCCAACAGGCGACAGATTGTACAAGGTCCCCGCAATTTGCCGTCTGCCTAATAGGCCTGTTCGTCATAAGGTTCAAGATGTTGATGAAACATGCTCATTTATTTATACTTTTTACGAGCGAAGGATTCAGACTTTTACTGCACAGTTAAACTCCACATAAAACTTTTATAGGTTAAGAAATTAGACTTTATGGACATTGCTACAACTACAGAGGAAAACCTTTTATAGGCTGAGGATTTGGAATTTCCGACTACTGCTGGAGACACAGTTACTTTTACAAGTTGAGGATTTAGACTTTTACGACACATCTTACAAGCATTTTAACAACTACTAGAGGCTAAGGACTCAGGATTTAAGGATACTGTTACCAGTAAAACCAGTCTTTTATGTACTGTGGAAAAACACTCTGAGATAATTCACAGTCTAGTCACTTCCCCCGGTGCATATTGATAGGAGTTAGGCGTGATGAATAGCACTGCTCAATTATCCCTGTCCCAGCTGTCCTTATAACTACAAGAACACTTCATGAGTCATCCTGAGAAATAGCCCGGGCCAACGTGGGGGCAAACTCCAAAGGTACCAGCTGCAAATGGCTGAGAAAATTAAGCCTGAATGGGTTGAAGCACGAGCTATAGATGGCTGGCATCCAAAAACAGCATTAGACAGATAGGGGCTCCGTAAAGAGCAGGGGTCGTACAAGATTTCACATCAGTTGAGATGGCTTACATGGACCCGCAGGCTATTATGCTCCGTATAATTCAAATAGTCATGGTGGAGATGGAGAGAGAGATCATAAAGGCATAGAAGAGAGATGCTGATCTGGACTATTCATTATTGGGATCTTCCAGATCAGGACTTTAGAACCCAGTGTAAGACTATCTGTCCTAATTTCATCTCATCTGCTTATTTCAGTGGTGTGTGTGGGGAGGGGGGCTGATCAAGATTTGCCGTGGTGGCAGCAAGATTGCATTAGGTGCCATGATGATCATGACTGTTCCTTATCTTTATTGGTCTGGCCAAAGCGAATGTCAGCACAAATTGCGAGGAGAAACAGTTTGTGTGGAAGGCCAGGAGGGACACTTTATTGACAGGGTAAGCTCAAGGTGACTTTCAACTTAGCTGGGAAAATTCAAACAGAAGCTTCACGCCAAGAAGACTCAAAATCTCGTCAGCTCCTTGTTCCAGTCGCTACTTTACTTCAAGGAACAGAGGGCACAGAGGTGGCGATGAGTTAATAAAATAGCTATGCTTGAATGAGCTTAATCTTTTGACATGTTAGAAGAACAGAGTGTACTAATGCAAGATCGTTACACATGCTGCTACTTAGAAAATTATAATTGAAATTCCCCCTGCATGTTGTGGGCTCTATTCTGGCACGTAATTCGGATTAGTTGTATCATGTGTCACAAAGAGGATTGAAGAGATCATTAAAATGGATTTTTTTTTCAATCAAAAGAGCTTTGATGCATATCATTGGCCTTTGGTACATGATAACAGGTAATACTAAATCTTTACTTGATAATTGCATTTTGAGACACAGGATAATTAACTAGGATCATACTGCTGGGCAACATCCTTGATTAAACTGCTTGAAAACATCTTTGATTATACTGCTTAAACATATCTTTGATTATACTGCTGGACAACATCTTTTATTACACTTAGTCTACAGGAACATTTTTGATTATACTGCTTGAAAACATCTTTTAATATGCACAAATGCAGTTGCAGCTGCCCCAGGTATGAAACAGATACAAGACGGACCTTTCCTTGGTGCTGATGCATGTGTTAAATACAGGTCATTGGTACTGAATATGTGCAAATGAATCTGACCCTGCTGTAGAATAGGCACGGAATGGTCCTGTCCTTGGCGCTGAACACAGAAATATTGTACTTTCACCAGTGTTATATTGTCCTTATTACTCCACACAACAGGGAACATTTAACAACAGTATCTCCCACCTATATGCATGTATTTAGACAAACTGGCTGTGATTGTATCACTTGACAGTATCTTCCACTGACAAATAGCAACAACCAAGTCTGATTATTAGGAGCATTTCCTGCAGTCCACAAGCAACTTGTCAAAAAAGCAACTCTGATGTTATTTTGTTTTGGCAACGACAAGAATGAAACAATTTCTGAAGTCGACTAGATCTGAATTGATAGCTTTTGGTATGAAATCACATTAAATCTAGCCTTTCATAATTGCGAAATTGCCAGCAATTCTGCTGTTATGTCTTTGGCCAAGACAAGAATGAAGTGATTTCAGAGGAGGATTAGATTAGAATTGATAGCTTTCGGCATGCAATCACATTAAATCTAACCTGCGGAGCACAGGCAATCACGTCTGTCTATTGTTATGTAAATCAATCCTTTATCAAACCTATAAGTGATGAATTTGGAGTGCCTTTCTGTTAATTACTGTTCCTTCATTAGTCAATATGCTGCAATTATGACTAGCATAAATTGGAATCCGAGGTATTACTGATGTTATCCGGCTGATGCAAACAGCCAGAAAAACAAACAACAAATTTTCAGCATATTGAATTTTTCAATCAATTATTTTTGACTTGCAAAATGAGTACTCGTAGAATATTTGAAGACATACTGAAAAATATATGGGCTGATTATTCATTCATATCATACATGCAACCAACAAGTGACATTTCTATATGTACATGGTTGAAGATACTCTCAACATACAAATAAATCTGTTGCAAAAAATCTCTATAATCAAATACAGCTTTAGAAGCATGTACATGTCAAGAAGCAGCAATTGAAGCAAAATGGACACATTATCAAATGGAAAGTATAACTTAATGTTCATGAAATTCAAGCAAAAAGAAAAATCACTTATCCTAATGGTGTAGACAAACACATCATCAAATGGAAAGACTTAGTATGAATGTAAAAAATTGAGACAACTTAATGTTCATGAAATCTAAGCAAAAAGAAAAAATCACTAATTCTAATGACAAAATTACAAGCCAACAGGTTGTTAAACTGGTGGAAACAAATGAGAGGGACTTACTTTGCACGTAGGGCCAGCTGTCTGTCATTGGGGCACACCCAGCGATCGATCCTCCCTCCTGATGCCATCTCACCCATATTGTGCGGCGCCTGCCTGCGTCTTTCCCGCCTGCTCAGCGGCGGTCCCGGTATCCACCCACATAAATCAGACGACCATCCCCCCGACTCCGACGCTTCATTAACACCTCAGCAGAATCAGAGCCAGCAACCCACCTGTGAAGCGAGTTGGAAAAAAACAGAACACATGAGGCCAAGGAAAGAAAATGTTGTGTTTCATGTTTCCTGACCAACCCTAGAAAAACCTGCCAACCATAAACTTTTTTTTTGGTGGACCCCTGCATGGGACAATTTTTCAAGCTAGTCAACCTTTTCTAGCTCAATGATCTCACACCTCAGTGATAAAACGTTGGTTTTCTAACATTGACATTGAAAATATTGTATTGTGTAAGTTAGACCCCTATATATCACTGAAGTCCTTAAAAAAAAGAAAGAAAAAAAAAGATAATCCCTACCTACCAACCCTGATTTTGCAGGGCTGAGACAGGAAACACAACATTTTTTTTCATTGGCCTGACGAGGTTTGACAGGTCTGTAGAACAAGTGGCAGACATGATGATACAGGGTAACACTCACCGCGGGGGAGGTCACGGGGAGAGTCTCGCTTCTACCACAGATGTGAGAACTATCAAAGAGCAAAGTTGATACCACCGCCCAGGGCGGCAACACGTCAATGACAATGTATCAGAACTCCCTAGCAACCACGGCTCTCTGTATTAATGACAGCTGTAGGTAAGGATTTGAGGTTTATCAAGATCTTTACGAAGGTTTCAACCAGACCCATCTCATCAATGATGGAGCAGGATAGAAGAGAAAGCCAATGGATTTGGGGATTTTTGTGACGATGGTGGCTTCTGAAAACTGTGCACATGTACATGAGCCTTTCAGATTGAGTTGGCGTAGTGACATTTAGAGTCCTGAGCTAGTGCATATGCACTGGCGACATTATGTGCGTGTGCATTACACGTGCTGGCAACTACTGTTCAGATTCTAGGAAATGACTTCAAAAGGAGATCAAGAAGCTACAGGTCTACAGTCACAGTGACGTAAATATTTGCAATACAATAACAAGCGACACAATAAAAAGTACAGATTCAGCTTCTTCTTTGAGCATATTAATAATTGTAAATATGAATATTGCATGAACACCAATTCCTGCACACAAAAAACAGACCATTGGATACTATTGATTTTTCCATAGAATTTTTTCCTTTTGAAACTTTCGTGAAAAACTTTTGACCCCCCCCCCACCAAAAAATAAGTATTCCCATGGTACGAATGCAGCAAACTTCCTGATCCTAATTGGCTACCACCTCCAGAGTCAACCATCTCTGATTGTGACCCCTTCTGTGATACCCAAGACCCCAGACCCTCAAACAGGACGTTAGAATCCTAGATTGGGCATTAGCGAATCTCCACCAAGGGCGAACACGAAGCCAGGTCATGATTACCTCCCTAATGACTACAATCAAGGGGGACAGTTGAACTTCAACGTTGACCTTTGCTATTTGTTGAGTCCAGTGAGCCAGCGATTCCTTGGCTGATGGGTAGATTTTAAAATGGATGAAACTGTAACAGCTTATTGAGACCACAGCCCCAGTCCAAATGTATTACCAGGGCCTTACATGTAAAGTTTGGATACAAAGTAGTCGCAATAAATTATTTAAGCTGGATAAACTCACACTGCCACACACATGGACATTACATGTGATCTTTACGTTGCTAAGGGTTGGTACGTGAGTATGGTAGTGACGTCAATAGCCTGGTACTAGATGGCATCAGACTGTGAAAATTTCAGCGAAGTTATACTGAATTTCCTGGAAGTACAATGTGTGACGCAAGTACTAACTACCAGGAAATTCACATGAGTTGAACACTTAAAAAACTTTTATACCTGAGACATGTAATACATGTTTAATACAGACACTTCAATTCCTAACTTCACTGTTACTAGTATCTGAAACTTACATTTTGTAAATTATAGACTATACATGATGCCAGACCTCTCAAATAACCTCTTTACATCTTAAAATTTACGAGTTATACATTGTAACTAGGCATAGAATACAGTAGATTAGTCCATGAAGTATGTAAGGCAATAAAGTTCATCACTGCACATAGAGTCTGGTCTTTTGTATGCATGAAGCCCCACAAGTGAGTTACAGTACACATATATTTGATGGTTGTCTTTTTACCAGCCCAAATTACACCATATATTTTGCAGTCTGGTCTATAAAGGTTGTCATTGTTAGTGCATATGTTGCAGCAAATTGAAATGAAGTTGTAGATTTATCAACCCTTAGTTTGGTCTGATAAAAAATATGATTGTCATGCATATGTTCATGCATAACATTCTTTTGGGAGTGCTTCAAGTGGTGACATTGTAAAAGTAAGTTAGCAACATTAATTTTGTACATAAAATCATCCCAACTTAACTTTTGCTTCTTCTTGCTTGGGACACGTCAAGCATTCAATCTACTTCAAAGCAAGAAGATTTTTGGATACATACAATCATTTAACTTTAGTAATTGAAGTAAAAAAAGATTACCCCATTCTTTCAATTGAAGGTTAAATGGAGACAATACACACATACTAGATGATATGGTTAGCCCCGCCCTCCTCAAGTAACCCAAGCAAATCGTTACTGCAAAAACTATGATAAATTTCAATAACTGTCCAGTATCAAACTTAACTCATTATCAGAAAGAAAACATAACCTACCTTGCTCAGTATATATATGTCAGAAATACAAATCACCTCTGTAACAGTCAATCTGGAACTCTGTTATTTTCCCTTCAGTGTAAGCACGGCCGAATGACCAACCCTTTTATGTAGTCACTATAGACGCAGTGTCATATATCAATAAGGAACCGATTGCTCAGATTACATGTAAATCAGCAGCAATAAATATTTGATGAACGTCCTGGCAAAAGTAATTGATCTTTAGTTGTTGGCTCAAGCTTACATATGCCTGTATAGTGTTATATGATAAACAATTGTCATACAATATATACACTAACTGTAAGCATAACACGATATTTACTTAAATAAATGGCTCTTGCTTGCATATTTAAATACATTAGTTGCCTTCTCCTTAAAAGAGGCTTTTTCCAATGTTTGTAAAATATGATTGTTTAATAACAAAATAACTTAGATGTTATACATGATCTGGCTCTAAAAACAAGTAGGAAGATTATAGTTACATTTTCTTTATACGCCATTTATGAAAACTTCATCATTCCATAAAAAGGCTCGTTAATCACAAATTTCATTGTGCATTAAATATATACCCATATTGATTTGTAGCATGCATTATGACTCAGATAATGGCAAGCAACAAATGTCTTAAATCAATAGGATAATAGTGTGTTGTGTGTTGTGTGATGTATATATTTAGATTTGTAGCCCTGAGCTTCTTCATTGATTTTTGCCAGGTGTCATTGCTAATTTAGATTTTGTACAGGCTATGGGGATGGATTAAGTAAACAGAAGGGAAAACTTAACAATGAAAAAAAAAAGATTTGAAATGTACAGTAGTGTTTGGAGAATTCAATTATAGAACCAAGCTTCCAAAGCCCTACATGGCCTGTCTATCAGTAGGTGCTGTTGAACACTTGGGAACACGTTAAGAAATGACTAAAGGGGTGTTTTTACATTTTTAAATGTCTGTTTCTTTTCTATAGAAAAACAACAGTTAGTATCGCTTGTAAAAGCACCAGGTGCAGGGATGTTAGTGTTACTGTGACTGTCGTTCAGCACCAGGGACAGGGATGGCAGTATTACAGTGACTGTCATTCAGCACCAGGGACAGGGATGGCAGTATTACAGTGACAGTCATTCAGCACCAGGGACAGGGATGGCAGTATTACAGTGACTGTCATTAAGCATATTTGATTCTACAAAATATCTTCCCCCCCCCCCCACACACATAAAAATACTGCCCTAAACTTGCCAAAATCCTTTTTATCTATCAACCAATATGGGGGATAGTTAAATGATACTAAGCACAGGTACAGACCATTTTGTCGATACTAAACTAGTTAGTAACACACAGATTTGGACAGCTCAATTTCTCAGCAGTTATACTGGACACTAGCCAAAGCCTGCAGCTGGGTAATACATAATATATTACAGGTCACGAAGATAGTATTGAATATCGCTCAAACTCACATGTGAATGTCATGACCATTGGTTATCTGTATATATCAGCAAATCATGTAACGTTTTTCTCATGGTTCCAGATTTGAATTCCTCTCCTAGCTACAGTCACAAAATTACCGCACTGAATTATTGATACCCAATCCTGGCCAAATTGCTTGCAGATCACAATTTTTCCGAACTTACCTACTATCTGATTATACACGATGTATTTCCTGGCTTAGTGCCCTTAAGCCTACAGCCAGCCCAGGTTTTTGCGACTGACACAAGCTCTTGGCGGTTTTAATGTTTAAAGCGCGGTGTCAGCGCCCTGTAATCTTTGGCCGCAGGATCGCAGCGGTTGGCCTGCTAAGAGTGATCCCGCTAAAGCCCGCGTATGGATTTTTCCATTCGAGGCGGTTTGTCTATACAGATAGATAGATGGGATGTAGGGAAGTGTCATTAAATATGCAGGGGGATTATGACCTGTAGGTATTACCTTTCCCACAGGTTGGGGGGATAATGCTGTAAAACACTGTCCCTCAGGGATTGAAAGGGCTATTCACCATCAATTCTGGGTCAAAGATTGTACACACTGTGCATTATGATATTATTCATGCTGGTACCATGATTCTATTTTTGTATTTTTGCATTGCCCACTCCACCCCAAAATCATGACACTGCAAATATGTGCTTCCATTACATTACTACATAGAATATATTAATATTATTCAACTACAAACTTTAAACACAGCAAAAAACTTTCTACTGTAAAATAAAGCCATGCAGGTAGTCAGATAATGCTATGGTCTTCAAATCTAGCAAACAATTTGCTTGGGAACTACCTGTTACAGTAACTACAAATTTGTTACTCGACGGTCCCTTTTCACTTTACAAAATTAAAGGCCTAACCACATGCCCTAAGTTTCATCTCTTAATGATCTGTAATTTAGAACAGAGTGGCTATTTCAGTACAATCATAACAGCTGCCTAATGGTTACAAACAGTGAACAGAATTC